GGACCAAACATTACATAACACTAACTTGAAGTTCATTTATCCTTAACTAGAACTAATCACTAAAAACTCTGCTACTATAAGGGAGACTGTAGTATACCTAAATGGGTGTTTCAATTACCATGTAAATACACTCCAGCATAAACTGAAATGGTTATTTCAGCCATAAAGTAAACTCCAGGGTAGTCCGATTTGATTATTTCATTCAAAAAGTAAACACACTCCCAAGTAACAGCAGATGGTTGCTTCGATCACTAAGTAATTAAGCGTCAACACTCCAGAGAAGACCGAGGTGGTTTCGGTCACCATATAACCACACACCAGAGGAGACCGAAATGGATGTTTCAGTCACAAAGTATCCACGCTCCTAACTAGACCGAGATGGTTGCTTCGGTCATCAAGTAATCAAGTAACCACATTCTCCAGGAAACAGAGATGAGCGCTTTGGTCACCAGGTCACCATAACCTGCAGTAGACGGAAATGGTTGCTTCAGTTTTATAAAGTAATAAAACACTGCAATATACCGAGATGGTTGCTTTGATCACCAAGTAAACACGCTATGCATAGGCCTAGATGGTTGCTTCAGCCATCAAGTACCCACGTTAAACAGAAGACTGAGATCATTGATTCGTTCATAAAGTAACCAGTTCTTTAGTCGAGGAGGTTCTTTGATAATGTAACTATAGTCTGTATCTGTCAAAAATTGTTGCCCCACTCGTCAAGTAACCAAGTAGCTACATTCTCCAGTAGATCGAAATGATGACTTCAGTTTTCAACTGAACACATTCTACGTTAGGTGAGATGGTTGCTTCGATCTTCCATTACTACAAACTGTTGTAGATCAAAATGGTTGCTTCAGTTGTCAACTGAACACACTCTACGTTAGGTGAGATGGTTGCTTCGATCTTCCATTACTACAAACTGTTGTAGATCAAAATGGTTGCTTCGATCATTAAGTAACCAAAGTCTGTAGTAGACTGAGATAGTCGTTTCGATCATCAAGTAACCACAAACTGTAGTGGATAAAAATGGTTGCTTTGATCATTAAGTAATCACACACTGCAGTAGATAAAAATGGTTGCTTTGATCATTAAGTAAACATAGACCGTAATAGATAAAAAAAATGGTTGCTTCTATCATTAAGTAATCACACATTGTATTAGACCAAAATGGTTGCTTTGACCATTAAGTAACCACATATTGTAGTTGATAAAAATGGTTGCTTCGATCATCAAGTGATCACACATTGTAGTAAACCAAAATGGTTGCTTCGATCATCAAATGATCACACATTGTAGTAAACCAAAATGGTTGCTTCGATCATCAAGTAACTGAACTCTGTAGTAGACCAAGATGGTTGCTTTGATCATTAAGTAACCACACTCTGAAGGATATCAGAATGACTGTTTGATTTATTAGGTATCAGATAATAGACTGTGATAGAAAGTACCTTTTACACTTTTCGAAGAAGGTTATTCTGATTAAACCATGAAAATAGCTCACAGGGCCGGCGGTGTGGATTGGGTCGTCCACCCCCAAATTTCACTTTGGCCAACCAAAGTTCATTTTCTTTAGAGGTTTAAAAAATCCTATGCTCAATATTAAAAAAATTATATGATTCTTTAAATTGCTAAGAAGAGTCAACAAAAGATCCTTTGTACCTCCCCCTTCCCATCCCAGGAAGAGGAGCTGAAGCCGGGCCTGATAGCTCAACCAAAAGAGAAATGCATTTCCTTTGTTTACTCGTAGGATTCATGAAGCCCTAATATGTTGGAAAAGTTTTATTCTTCTCTAACATTACTCAATTCTCGGATTGAGGGATATCAATTACAATTACAAAAGTTTTTCTAAGTGCGCCCTGATGATAAATTACTTAACAAAAAAAAAAGGGTAATCACAAATATATGTTGCCTGGCTCTTTCAACAATAAAGAAAAATCATCAACTTAGGTCTGCCACAAAAAAAAAAGAATAACAACAAAAATCGATGCAATTCCTGTACGTTTTTTTCACTCTATATTTTTGTAGAGAAGGAGGAGGATGAACTGTAGAAACCCCTGTGAAATTCATTCAGTTAATGATTTACATTGTACGTAGGAAGTATTGATCTCAATAACTTTAATAACGTTAAAAGATATTTTATCGTTGCCCTAGCCATTCCCAAAGCGATTCTTTTACAAGTAATACAATGACACTTTTCAGAGATCGTTCGGGGGAATAAATTGAAATGGTAGCCGCAGATAAAAAGAAATGTTCCCAGTAGGAATATAAACTTCCACGTATGCCACGATGACGATAAAACCTTTTCTTCTAACAGAAATTATATTCTTATTTTTATAACAATTGTGATAAAAAATAAGTTTCATCAGAGTGCGATGTCGAATGATAAAATTCACGCTTTAAATTTTTTTAAAGGAAATCGAAGCCCAATCTGACATAAAAACTATTCAATTTACAGTTGAATTTGTTAAATAAACTGATGAGAGTTTTGCTTTTAAGGTTCTAAAAATAGTCTTAGGACATAGGTGACTCTGGAAAGTTTGCTATTTATATACCGTACAACATTTACATATCGTCTACTTTCGTCAGTAAAATTTCGCTGTTAATCCATTTTACAAAAATGATTCTGTCAAAGTTATCTAATGAGACGTTGGAGAAAAAGTATCAGGATTTAAAGCCATTCAAAAAATGGGATAATCTTGTACAAGACAGCAGTTTAACATCATGAAATCACCCTCTATTTTTACAGGAATCTTTGTTCGCAGCTTTTTATATCGCCAGTTTGATGATAGATTAGACTAAATTGTGTCAAGTTTAGAGATATGAAATTATTTGTGGTAGTGACATTGTATTTACTAATATCATTTGTCCCTTTACTGCAAAGCAGCTCGGAAAAGAAAAAAAAATGGTAGAAAACTATGAATACGTTTATCTAACCAACTTCACATTAAACTATGAGGAATACTACCATGAAAAGAATGTGGATAAAACTTTTTACGAACATGCAGTGTAAAAAAACGTCTTAACTAGCAAAACTAGGAAGACAATTACGCCTTAAAGATGTGATGAACATAAACGTTTTTTTTTGTTATGTTACCCTTAATTTGCCCAATATGGGTTTGAAACAGAAATGT